TATCGTTCTTTGATGAGATGAGATTGTCGCGCAGTTCCGTGTCTTTATTTCCAAGAACGCTATCACAGACCCAAACAGATTGTAAAATCACGTCAAACAAGTACCGTTTGACAGCCAGCGCACCTCTGTGGGAAACAGCAAACGGTTGAAACCTTCATCATTAGCAAAGCAAAGCTGACTAAATAATCTGCCATTCAACAAGTTACTTCTAATTTTACTTACGACTTTGATAACATATTGCAAGAATGTATCGAGGCGTTCACTCAGATTTTTCGCAACCAAATGCTGACGATTAATTACGCAATGCACAGAAAGCGCACCAGGAACTTTAAGCAGGCTATGAAGTCTTTGGGACGCCCTATTATAGCCGGTGCGCCACCCCTAGCAACTGACAAAATGTTATTAAAAGGGATTTCTTTTTCGTAACAAAACGTTTCCAGTGTTATGTTCCAGTGTTTCCATTGAATATGGTTTCTCTTTTTGTATCTGTTTCCAAATTGGTAGCAAATAATAGGTTCTTGACATAATTTTTCATCTTTGATAAACCTCACATATGACAATAACAATGCTTCAATGGTTAGTAAACATCCAGCTGAACTGAAAATTGACCAGTCTGCAGATTATTTCACAATTATTCTTCGATGTTTTCGTCATCTCATCAATTCGTCTTTGCACAGAACTATTGCTCAAAGAAATTTTTCGGATAATATCTGTAGCTGGTTTATGGAGCACAGTGGTTATTACTTCCTTTACTACTGTAAAATTAAATATTTCCCAATAGTATGTGGTTTGCCTGTTTTAGCAATCAACAATGAGATATTGTACGAAGTTCGAAGTCCGTCATCGTCTTGAAAAAGGTTTTGATGAAAAAGGTTTTGATTTCGTACTTCTTTTTCATGTCTTGACTATAAGTCACATCTTTGTCTTTCTTATTCGGGTGTATTTTATTAAAATGATCTTGAAGCCTAGAAGTCTTCACCGCTTCATTTGAAAATGTTTTTTGACAGATTCGTGGGGTTTTCGATAAATCCGTATTTAATAAAATGCACACTATACTGCCGTCTCTTCTTTCTGACATACGTTTTTAATTTATAGATACGTGAGCAGTAGTAGTGAATGTTAGACAAAGCCATGTTAAGGGTTATTTATTATAAAATATGCATACTGTGATGGCTGTGACAAGAAACGTGACATTCAGAGTGTGTTGACAGTTAGCTGTCACAAGCTGGTAAAAAACATACGTGCCAAACGACGGTTGTTATCAATTAACTATTGCCATTGCCCAAAAATACGTGATAAACAGCTTAAGTTATCAATTAACTATTTCCTTTTCTCATGGGAAAAACCTGTGTTAAGCACCCTCCGCTCAGCGAGACACAAATAAAGACTTTAAGAACGCTAAATGCGCCGAGAACTGTGATGGATATGCTGTGAAATACAGTGTAAAGATTGCGTCCGCGGAAGCAAATGGTCTGCTTCGGTTTTATTCAATGTTCTAATGTAATTTTAATGTAATTCATCTTTTGTATAACCAAGAATTAATTTGTTAAGTTTACATTAAAAATCAAAAGACAACATGTCTGTTTATTCTCCGAGCTCGGGAAAACTCGGCGACGTTACAATATTAGAGAGGTATCTCTCAACAATGAAAAGATCAACTTTTAAAACTCTGTTATTAATTGCGCGCGATAATGCTAATAAAAAGTAAAATAAACAGTGATTGCTTTTATATAGGTTGGAGACATATAACACGAATCGACAGGAATAAGATAAACAATGCAGTGGCTAGTTTAACACTCGGCGAGGAAGTAAAGCGCGGGGATAAGGGTGATGCGGGAGCAGAGTGCGGATTAGAACAAGCACAGATAATACTGTCAATTCCTACAGGATTGCAAAAATCACATTATTTAACAGGAACCTATTATAAAATAAGTGCTACATTTTTTGCTATTTTTTACTAACAAGCTTTTGTTAACTTTATTTATATATGAGATATATTTGGGAGGGTAATAAAATTGGATGATTTGAAAATTTTTAATTCAAATCTAAAATTAAAAATTTTTATATCATCCAAGTTAATGTAGATCTGAATGTAATTGGAATTTTAAGTTCAATTTTCATCCACTTCCCGAACTACAAGAATATGTGAATTTTCGCACACGTGATAAAAATAATTAAAATACATACAATAGCAAAAATTAACCAATATTGGCGCTAGTTCAGTTTTCCTACCCCCTCTCAAATATTTATAAACAACTAAAAAAAAAGTAAACATTTAAACAAAATCTATTGGTTTATTTTTTAAAAGGCAGAATTTTATATAAATCATTAATAAAATCTATCAGTCGCCATAAAACAATTTTCCTATATACTTAATTAGCTTTATAAATAAAGTTAGATTATGTTTTGTGCCTCCTCTTGTGAGGTATAGTTGCTTAAGATACAATCATGCATTTGTAAGATTATTAGTGTGTATTCCAGATACAGTAACGAAATCATTCTATAATTTATTAATTCTCATTACTGCTGAGTATAAAGGAAGCCATTAGAGATACCGTTAAGCAAAGTATAACTCTTTATTGTTACAAAAAAGTAGTTGTTTCTATCCTTCTTTTGCTACAACCTCCACTATCTACGAAAATGTTATCAAACAATTTTAAGTTTGCAAGCTCCTCCAAAATGGTTTCTATTTTTTGCGGTTTAAAAAAAAAATTAAAAAAGAAAATAATAAATAAATAAATAATAAAATAAAAAATAAATAATAAATAATTGACCTTCAGTTCCCTTTTCCTACCCCCCTAGACTAAATGACATGTGGTTTTTTTATATAATGTATAGGGGGTAAGAAAGTTGAACTAGCGCTCTCAATACTAAAGTTTCCTTTAGTTAGTACATGATTAACGTGTTTTTTTTTTTTTTTTTTTTTGACAATATTTGTTTAATCTGCCCAGGCCCCTCTGTGCCATCTCAACGCTCCCTAATTTTCTCTGGGTCTTCTACTAGCCCCCCCTGAAAGTCTCAAACGCCACAAGGGGGCGTTATCGCCCACGTTGAGAATCTAGGGCCTAGACGAATTTTTCATTATTTGGGTAAAAACGTGAGTGTTCGTTATTTAGAAATGATTGTGTCGCAATGTATTATTACGGTTTAGTTAAATTAAAAGCGAGTTTCAGCTCTGAAGTTTAAAATTTTTTGAAAATGTGTATAATATGTAAACACTGCGCACCCACAAGAAAGTGAAGGGATAATTCAGTATCGCCCGTTTATTTGAACAGATTGACAAGATTTAACTCGCGTTTTTCATGTCTCGATAGTGGGACATCAAATATGTATTGCATTTTTATATGCATATTTATCTAACATAAGTATTATGACACAATATCAGACTTTTTCTGAAATTACATACCGATTTCTTTTTTTTTTTTTCCTTTTCATATTTTGATTCTACCACTGAAAGTAAGCCAAGGTGCAAAGTTTTGTAAAAATTGAACGAGTAATTTTTAAAAGGTCAGCTCTCAAATTTTAGCTTCTCAGTGTTAATTGAATTTTATATATGTTTATTAAGACCTTTTTTTCATTGAACTTACTTGATTCCTTCTTTCAAAATTCGAAATTTAGGTTCAATCCAAATAAAATTCGCAGCTATTTTCTGATTTTTTTTTTTTTTTTTAATTTGTACTTTTTAGCAATTTTTTTAAAATTTAGGTTCAATCCAAATAAAATTCGCAGCTATTTTCTGATTTTTTTTTTTTTTTTTTTTTTTTTTTTTTTAATTTGTACTTTTTTTAGCAATTTTTTTAAAATTTTCGAAAACAAATTGTGAATTATGACGTACAAAACTTTTACCGCGGCTTTAAAGTATATGTATTTATTCGAAATTCCCAAAGATATATGCGAATTTATATATTGGCTCGTTTCTGGCATTAGAAGAGATAATAATGCCAAATGTGGTTTACGCTCTTTGTTAAAATTATTTGAAAGAAGGAAAGGTGTATTTTTGCCCCGTTCGAGCATAATGAAAGGGGAAAGAAAATAGGTTACCAGAAATTAAGAATTTCGCCAAATGAATTATTCTTGGCGCAAACTGGAAAACGTGTGCAAAGATAAATTTTCAAATTTTTCCCTAAGTTTCTCACCACATTTTACAAAATTTAATATTTAGGCATAATTTTAGTCTTAAAGCCAAAATATGTATAAAAATCGGTATAAAATATGTATAAAAATCGGTATGTCATTTCAGAAAAAATCCGATTTTGTCTCAAAATACCTATGTTGGAACTATGCTATATATATTAATCTAATATATATTCTATAATTCTTCAATTTGCTATGTCGAGCTTTCGAGACATGAAATACGCAAATTAGATTTCGTGAATCGGCCCATCAGAACAGGAGATATAAAACTGTCTCATTTTTTTTTTGGGGGGGGGTACATTTTGAAAGAAAAAAAAGGGGTGTCCATATTCTGTACAGATTTGCGCAGTTTCTGGAATCAAGTAATAGAATTTTACTGAAATATCAGATGAAATTTATAGAAAATTTGACTATAATTCTAAAAATCTCTAAGTAAGTTTCCTTGTTTTATACTTTTCTGTAAAACATTACATAAAAGCATTTAAGTATTTTAAAGCATTATCGAAATTTCGAACTTTCCGAGGAAAAAACTTTTGGACTTTTGTGCTTAATTTTTCAGAAACAACTGTAAAATTTTCGTAAATATAAGTATAGAAACCGGAGGAACATATAAAATGTTAGATTTCGTAATGTTTACAAAATTGATTTTTTTCAAATTTAAAAACATCAGAACATAAATGTTCGTGTGATTTAAAGCATTTTTGTATCTAGAAGTATATCTCTACGTCTAACAGTTGCGAAACTTCAGTACCTTCGTGGATAAATCTAAAGAAAATATTCCGGTATATATTCTCAATAGTTTCAGAGAAATGATGTAATTTGGTTATTTTAAAGTTTATTTTAAAACCAGTAATTTTTCCTCTTAGTTTTAGAAGCATATTTGCAAATAAACCAACAGATTCATACAGCAACAACAATTTCCCAAGAATTTGTAAATTAGGTAAGTATTTACAATATATTTATATCTCTTTTTGGAAAAAAAAATTGAAGTAAATGGTTTGCAAATTTAATGTGAAAATTTATTTATAAATACTAACACATATAAACTCATTTAAATTTTAGGTCTAGTGGGTAGTGATATTTCGGAAGATGAAGAACTGGATATTCAAGTATGTTCTTCGATTTTGTATTAACACTAGATTGTTAGATTTACGTTATAAAGTTTTATCCTAAGAATTTGTAAATATACAGATCACACCATACAGTTAACCAAAGAACTGCCGACAGAAGCGCAAGTTAATATTACGATAAAGTAGACGTCGTTTAATGTGATTACAGTGAATGTTACCATTCGGATATTGTGATCAACAATTCGGTTAATATTATGGAACGTGAGCGAGGAAGTCGTTTTAGACTAGTTCATAGAAGAGTCTGTATAGTGTAACAAGTATTTATTAACAGGCTTAAGTTACACACGGACATTACATTTAACTTTAAGAAAATTACAGAGCAAGAGTCTGATCAAGAGTCAACGTATCAGGTTATACACTTGGCTTTTACTGAAGTACTTCTCTGGCTACTCGAGGACACCCTTGCTGTCACAGTTAGTCGAACAGTTTATGTTAAAGGATTGGTTACAAACTCCCCCTCTGGCTCCGCCGACGTCCCGGCAAGGAGACAGAATTAGATGATTTGGGATTTTATAACATTGTCTCTAGTCTACGTTTTTTTTTTTTTTTTTTTCCTGGGCAGATGATCTCTTTTTGAAGCACTTCCGCCGGAACCACAAGTTCTTGATTAGTTCGGGAATGCAAAGTAACTTTTGACGGTCTACCTCTCTTCCTCAGCGGAAGAATGGGAGAAATGGACGAGTTAAAAACTTTGAAACTTTGACGAGTTAAAAACTTCGAAACTTTGACGAGTGGACGAGTTAAAAACTTTGCAGACGTTTGAAAGGTGTTAGTGCAGACGCATGGTACGTTCCCAAGGGTTCTGATGGTTTATGAAGGCTTGAAATGATATAGGAAGTAGGTGATTTCTGTGTCATTACCAAGTATGGACCGTCACGCTTTGGTATGAACTTTGAAGTCTTTTTGTTTTTTGCATTGCTAATGAGATTCACCCATACTTTATCACCTGGTGAATAAAACACTTGTCGCCTTCCTTTATCCTTTTTTACTTTGATCTTGCTTCATTTCGATACGCTCTCGTATGTCCTTTGTAATAGTTGCGAATCGTTTAAGATAAGGGGTGATTTCAGGAACAAAGTTATCATTTTCAACCACAGCTTTAAAATCGTGAACAACGTCATCGACAGTCCTCAGCTCTTTTCCAAACATTAGGAATGCTGGTGTATGGCCTGTAGTGTCACAGACGGCCCTATTCATATCGAAGCGAATAACTGGGAGTTTCGAATGCCACTTGTCATGCGCATCTCCTACAAGGATTGCAAGACGAGATTTTAAGTCTCTATTTTTCCTTTCTACAGGATTCGATTGAGGAAAGTAAACTGGTATCAAGTTTTAATTGATATTTAATGTGCAGCAAACTTGTTGCATGACTGCACTGATAAACTGGGTTCCGTTATCACTGATGATTCTTCGTAATATACCATGCCGCATGAATACTTCTTTGTTGAGGGTTACAGCGCAGTGGCGTGCAGTAGCTTGAACAAGAGGAAATAATTCAACCCATCGCATAGCACAATCTTCGACAATGAAGACCCATTATTCCAGTGTCAGTTTTTATCAGTGGTCCAAATAAATCAATAGATATGATCTCAAAAACGTTAATAATAGACAGGAGTCCTTAGCAATCCAGCTGTCTTTTGGTTGGTAGCCTTGTAGCGGTTGCATTCAGGACAGCTTTTCACATAGTCGGATTTGTACTTTTTCATACCAGTCCAATAATAGCGTCTGGCAATTCGTTGGAATGTTCCTTCCTCTCCATAATGTCCAGCCATTGGGTCATCATGGTTCTTTCGCATGATGGGTTCACGCTCGGCAGTTGGAATTACTAACTAGGCCTCTTCTGAATCAGAGTCAGAGACATATCAGTAGAGAACACCTTGATTCATTAAGAATCCCCGGTCAGTCCAGTTGGCCCATTCTTCAGTTTTCTGAGTGTATTCGAAACTTTCTATAATCTTTTTAAAGTTTTCATCTTCAAGCTGGGATGCACGCATGTCTTTTGGACTTCTTGCGGGCATGTCCACTAAAGATATATTTGAAATCTCGCAAGGTGAAACTTCATGTTCGGAGCTGGGACGGGACAGCATATCAGCGATGACGTTTGCTTTTCCAGGAATGTAATGTACTTTCAGCTTGAAGACTGAATTTCAAGCGCCCATCTAGCAAGTCTTCCGGTTGGTAGGTTCATCTAACAAGTCCGGAAACTTGAGGTTGAAAAGCCATTTTAAAGGTTGATGATCGGATGCTATAGTTACTTCTGATCCTCCGACGTAACCATGGAATTTCTTCAGGGCCGAGACTACAGCGAGGGCTTCTCGTTCAGTTTTCGAATAGTTTCGCTCAACCGGAGAAAGCAGTCGGCTGGCATATTCGATAGAGTGCTTTTTTGACCCTTCCCCTTGAAGTAAAATGGCTCCAAGAGCATAATTGCTTGCATCTTAGACATATTAACATGGAAGGAGAGGGATAATAACTTTCGGGGCACGACTTTTTTTTTAAAGAAAAAAATTCTAATATCCTGTTTATATAAAAAGATATTTAAATGAAAATACACTTCAAATAGTAGTTGAGTTTAAAGTTAAGAAACGTTTTTCTCTTGTACATATATAATGATTAAAAGCATTCATTTCAGAAATTAAAACTAAAATTAAATTCAAATCGATGTAACTTAATCTTTTAATTAATTTTACGCTTGCATTACATAAACAATATGGTACAAAAATCTGCTCAAAATGTTATATAAATTCAGAAACTAAAGAAAGCCTAGTTAGAGGGATGAAGGGTAAAAATTTCCATTCCAGAATTATTTAACACTTATAAGTAAAAAGTGTTTATTTTTGCTTTTCTTTAAGAAAGCACGGTGGAAACTGAAAATTGGCTTTGATTACAGTCTGAAACTTTCACAGAATAGTTTAGTGGTTAGGGAAGCCTACTGCAGTACTGAAGGGGCCCGGGTTCGAATCCTGGAGAAGGCATGGATATGTATAAATGTATAGTGTCTTGTGTCTTTGCGGTATGGGTGCACTTTAAATATATGGCGAGGCAAAAGTCCCCTCGAGAGGTTGGCTTTTGTAAATTCGTATAGAATTTTATAGAGCTTTATAATTCCCTACCGAATTTATTCTGTGAAAGCTTTATAAATTCCTATAGAATTTTATATAGAAGTATTTCTATAGAGGATTGATCATCTCTAAAATTCTGTAAGAATTTCTTTAGAATTCTTCCAGCCTCCAAAAATTTTTTTCGTAAAAGCGTTCGTTCGTTTGGTAACAAATTCAATTAACCTGCGATTACTATGCGTGATGGCTGCAGTCGAGTACTTTTTATTGCAATTATCCAATGATTTTTAAGTTATCTGAGAACTGATCTTAATAAACTATACAGATAATTATGTATGAAAAATAGCCACGTTAACCTAGGGACAGTGTTTAGTACGAGAATATTTTTCGCTCGTAGAATTATTTTTCGCTTTAACAACCAGTGGAGCAAGAATGCCACATAATAATGCTATATTAATAATGATTTGCAGTTCCATCATTTCTCTTTTATCTATTATTAAATAATGAGTCTGTATGTGTGCACTGCTCCTTTGCATTGCGAAACAGGATGAAATAGCTACCGAATTTTAAACACACATAGTCCTCCATCCAAACATGTGTCCTTTGAAACCCGAATTTTGAATTTTTTCTTTGTCATATCTTGTATGAAGCTGATGAATTTTTCATTAATAAACTCAGCGATTTAAGGCAGATAACAGGCTACAGTGTTCAAAATAAAATATTTTTATTTCCAGCATGCCAGATTGTTTCCTTTTGACAAAAATCTAAGAAACTAATCTTTCAATTTTAATCAACAAACTAGGTTATTTAGAAGCAGTTTATTGCCACCGACTGAAATAAAATAATTTTATATTCCACTCGCCAGCATTTTGCCATATAGTAAAGAATAATTTTTTTCAGTTTTGATCTGGCGCCGCCCAGCCGGTATAGTGGTCAGTGGCCTGACTGCCGTAGCGATGGGCCCAACTGCATATAAGCATTCTGTACCGCGCCACGCGCATAGAGAAAAATCCATACTTGTCACTGGACATATTTTCAGATGACACCATTTTCTCTTGACATAATGACATTTATGCGGAATTCTTACGGTTTTGTTTTCGTTGAATGACGCGCATGAGTGACATGGAAGCATGAAAATAATCGCTTGTTTGCTTTAAAACGAAAACATTTAGCTGCAGCGTTTTGCATATGGCTTATTGTTTCATGGAATAATAAAATTATGAAATCTTTCAAATATGTTGTTAATATCAGAAGCAGTCTTAAGCGCTTATATAAGTTCATGAATTTAGTGCAAAAACCAAAACATGACGATCTCGAACCAACAATTTGTGCTAATAAGTATATTATTATTATTGTAATTTTGATGCTTTCTGTTTTTTTTTTTTTTTTTTTTTTTTTTTTTCAGATTGCAGAAAATATTTCCTTAGAAAATGCTATGTGATTTCCATGTTAATGTTCATATCATTCTAAATATTGCCTTGCGTTTAATGAAAGAAAAAAGTGCATTCAGTATCGTCTCTGAATTTAATACACGTGTGGAAAAGAAACTTCCTTCTCTGACAAACATTATTTTTATGCAAAGGTACAAAAAATGTTACAATTAAAAATGGGCAATATTCATAAAGTAACAGTATTTAATTTAAAAAACGTATCTCTATTTCTCTATTCCAAATTTATATTAGTCTGAATTCAGAAATAAATTTTACTTTTCCAGACTGATCTGATTATAAAATATTATGAATTTACTAACCTCGTTTTTGCTATCTCAGGAAACTGACTTGTCTCATGCTTTCGCAGATTACATGTGCAGAGGACGGATATATAATGAACAGAAAATAATGAATTAATAATCACACCTTTAATAAGAATACATTTATTGAAATATCTGCACTTAATACACATTTCTTTCATAACAATCTT